GATTGTCTCTGTCTCTTATTGGTGATGGTCATAGCCTGGCATTTGTGTGGCGCGAATGTCACTTGCCACTTGTCAGCCCAAGACTGGATATTGTCCAGAACATGGGCTGTTTCACTATCTGAGGAGTCATGAATGGTGCTGAACATTGTGCAATCATTGGTGAACAACCCCACTTCTGACCTTATGATGGAGGGAAGGTCAGTGATGAAGCAGCTGAGGGCCTGGAACACTACCCTGAGGAACTCCTGCAGAGATGTTCCAGAGCTGAGATGATTGACCTCCCACAACCACGACCTTCTTCCTATGTGTCAAATATGACTCAAACCACCGGAGCATTTGCCCCCTGATACCCATTGATTCCAGTTTTGCTAGGGATTCTCACAAGGCAGCAGCAAGTTTCAAATTTATGTTCATTAATGCTTGTTGAAAGTCTTGTAAGTATCCCAACTCACCATAGGTTGTAATTTTACCAAACTTAGCAAAAAACAAGCATTCAGGTAAACTCAACATAGAAACCACAGAAAGCTTACATGACAGCTGCTAGGACCCCTCATGGCACATTTCCAATCCTCTTATAGGACACATGTACACTTCAGTTCTGTAACTTGGACTCCACTGGCAGCTATCATTCTAATGCTCATAGTGCTCACTCACTCTGAGCCTACCCCTGCCTCGCATCGCTTTGTTTGAGGAAGAGTCACCAGACCCAAAATGGTAACTCTGTTTTTTTTTCTTCACAGATGCTGCCAGACCTGCTGAGCATTTCCAACAACTTCTGTTTTTGTTCCTGATTTACAGCATCCGCAGTTCTTTCAGTTTTTATTTTACATCACTTTGCCTGGGCTTTGTGCATTGCCCCCTCAGCTAGAAGTACCAGGCTCATATTACTATTCTCTTGCCATGCCAGTTAACGCAGATACAAAACCAGGAAGCTCGTTGTAGTTGTCTAGCAGGTCTCAATCCAGTGAAAGGGGATAGCCTTCACTCAGGGGCATCCCTGCACAGTATGGCAAGGGCAACTTCCAAAACCAGTCCAGGCCATACTTGGTGTGGTCAGTGTCAGGATCATAAGGAGCCAAATGACATACAGCACACCACCCATTTTGACTCTTCCTGTCCTATTTGGAACTGTTTTGCTCCTGGAATGAGAGAGAGGCGAGCATTACAGAAGATGGAAGTGGGTGGCACAGTTTATTGCTGTTTGTGTGGGTGAGGAGGTGTCCTGAGTGAGTGCGTAGGTGACAGAAAGTGGTACAGCGTTGTTGGCATTGCAGGTTGAGGTGGGTGAGAGACAGTAGAGCAGATGTTGAAGACAAAAGTGAGAATAGTAGAACATGAGCCTTGGTGGCGGGTGGGGGCGGGGTGTGGGGGGGGAGGGGGTGTGGCAGAAAGTGTTCAGTATCAAAGATAGTGTGATTATGAGGTAGCAAAGAGATTTATGCTGGCAGAGTAGAGAATGACATTGACCTTCTTCCTACAGCGCTATGCATTCCTCTCAATAGCTGAGACTGCTATAACTGGGCGGCAGCTGCAGGTTAGGCTAGCATGGTCTGGTGTCATGGGCTCTACTACTGCTCCTGAGGAAGAGAAATTCAGACTCTGCACCACCCTATCCAGCAGGAGCTCTCGGGCCATCCTGCAAATGCGAGCTGATTTCCCTCTGTCTACCTTGTCCAGGACAAATGCCAAGAACTGTGCAGGCCACCTCTCAACAGTCAGCACTAATCTAGGTTCACAATGGCCTTTTAAATAAGACGGTGGTGTCGGAGATGTCAGGCAATTTCAGGATCTCTAGTGAATGGCGAGGAGATCCAGGAAGTGTGCATATTAATACCGGGTGGAAATCAGATGTGAAACTTACCACAATCACTGAAACTCCAATTAATGCAATGAGTTTGCTAAGATATATTGAGAAAATTCATTGGGCTTCGCAGCAAGAAGCATTTCACCACACTCAAAGTGACCACCAATTTGCCAAAACAGCCTAAATTTGAACCCAATCTATCTAATTTCTTAAATCAATTATTCATTCACTGTCACATCTCACCCAATCAGCAAAACATAAGTAAGTAAAAATATATCTCCCTTAGAAATTCATGCGTTCGTTTTTTTTGCATTCAATTATCTGGAGCCTCCATAACTTTGATGATTTCCAGCTCAACAACAATTCCATGAGTACCATTAATCTGGTGCCTGGCAAATCTGTGTCACTTCAAAATACCACACTTGCTGATGTAACTCTGCCAACCATGTGTCAAAATAGCATATGTGTGGTTCAAAATTGTTTTTAAAAATTGCAACACATTCCAACTGCTGTTTTCTTTCTGAGTTTGTTGATAATGAAGCACCCTTTTGAAGGAGGAACTGAGGTTTTACAAGCAGCTGCCAACCTGGACCTCTCATTGCTGCTACATTGACACTGCCCTTAACAGCAGCAATGAGTGAGCATTCAGTTTAAAGAGTGCAGTAACAATACAGGTTCGATGTGCTTGGCTTGTAATCCAGTTTGGAAAGTTAAGAGGTGTTTAAAAGGAATTAGATAGGTTAGAAACAGAAACTTATGTTTTGTGGAGGTAGAACTGAAATACAAGGGCAATTTAAAATAAGAGCTAAATTATTTGGGAGAGGGATCGTAACTGTATGTTCACACATATAATAGTGGAAATTTGGAAACCATTTCCCCAAAAAGCCCTGAATTGTGGCTAAATGCAAAATTTTAGCAATAAGTTCATTGGACTTTCTGTTGGGTAAATTTATTAAATGTTTTGCAGCAAAAACAATTGAGGTACAGATTAGCCATGATCTAATTGAATTATGGATCAGGTTTACAGGACTTAATAGCACACTTTAGTTCCTAATTTCATATCCTCTCCTATTTAGGGCTCTTCCTGAAAGGAAACAGTTGAACAAGTAGAAGACGAAAGAAGTATTATGCGAAGTTTATACTTTCTGTTCTTGAAGGATAGATCAAAGAAAGTAACACTTAAATTTTGGCAACATAGCTATCTTCACTATAATCCCATTAAGCCTCTTAAAAAAGAAATTTGAAGACCAAAAACATACTCTTATATTTTAAAAATTATGTTTTGCATGCATAGCTGTCGTGAAAAAGAGCATGAGTAACAATAGACTTATGAATAAATATTATTCCATCATGTTTCCAGGAAATGTGTGTTATAGCTGCAGGCTTTTGTACCAGAGAGTGTATCAGAGGGAAGTCTGATCAAATCCTCAACTGACGTCCATGCACACGTGCACTTTTGAGGGCACCCAAAAAGTCTTCCCAAGTCGCTTTCATTGTTTTTGAAACATTGAAGTAACCAGATATTGTGTGAGCAATAAAATATATAGAGGTGGAGGTCATGATTTATGAAGTCTTTTCAGCACATATAAAGATATACTTGTGCATTTAGCTGTTACCTGAAAGGTTGCTGCTTTGAGATCATCCAGGAACAAAGGCTCCCCTGTTTCAACCACATCGGCTTTAACTGCCACATGATTCCAGGTTATCAATGTCTGCTTTCTCATTTACATTATGTTTGTTTTATTTGTGGTGCTGGCTTTAGTTGCTATGCTGCTTTAATGAGCTGTTACTAGTCTTGGGAAGAAGCTTACACAGCTGACAGGATGGTTGCTTTGTGATAAAACCAACAGCACAGGCTCAATTTCCATACCAACTGAACTCACCAGGAAGAACCCACCTCCTTCATCTCATCTCTCACCTAACGCATGGTGACCCTTCGATTAAACTCACCACCAGTCGTCTCTCTCTAATGAGAGAGCAGCTGTGGTCCCCTGGGATGAGGGTGACTTTCACTTCATTCTTTTAATTTTGTTAATTACTTTATTAAAGTAGATATTAGTAACAATTGCTTTATTAAAAATGAAATTTTGGGACATTAATGTTATGTAGGCACACGATAGGCAGACATAAAAGTTGCATTCTGTAAATAAATATGAGGAAAAGGATTGTCATCTCGTTTTCTACTTTGATGTCTGGCTTTGGAATGGCTTAGCAGTTTAGCTTATACGAGCAGTAGTTATTTGGGCAAGGCATCAGAGTGCTGATGCTATGTATGGAACCATATCTACACACATAGTTACTGAAGGGTGGAACAAACTAGACGGTAAATTAGGAAAACAGAACTTGGGAAAATAGTTTTGCTGGTCATAGCGTACCGGGAGCACAGTCCTGTGTTTTGGTATGAGCTTCTGCTGTGAATGAAGTTGTCACTTACTCCAAGTGTTCCATAACCTGAGGAAGACATGCAGTTGTCATATGTGAGCAACCTGATGATGAAATGCATTTTGATATCAATATTCTTAGACATTTTTGCATATAAACTGTGGTAGGGTTTTGTATTCATCATGTAAAATGTACAGCCTGAAGAATATTTCATGATAGTCTGTGCCTCCTTATCTCTGTTCCTCATAGATAGTTTACATTAGATAAATTGAGCCGTTCTTTTATGATGTACTATTCATTCTGCATTTTTGTTGATCTATACCTTCTATTTCTCATTTGCATCTTAATCTAATCCCAGCAGGTTTCTATTCTTTCTAATTAGTTTGTAATTTTTCCAGAGATGGACCACATTTTTGGCTGGGTAAACATTGCCAAATTTCACAGAATTGCTGAAGTGTTGCAACACAGAAGGAGATCATTCAGCTGATTGTGTCCACATATTATTTTAGCTAAAAATATCATCCACTTTCTCAAAAACAGTAAAAGTACGTACCTATCAAATTAATTTCCCCCCTATATCATATATGGTTCTTTCCTCTTTGACTCTGTCCTGCAGAGTCAATCTATTTATGGTATGTCAGAAAAAAATTGAAGGAGAGATCTACTGTATACAACACAATCAACAATGTTTAATCATAAGTAATATTGCTTGCTCAGTTGTAATGTACAAAGTCAAATGATGATTTGCAAAGGTGTGCCAAATATGGACCTATGTATTCTTATTTTTTTTCTATTTTATTTTTCTGTTTTCCAGACATTGGAAGTTGGCTGCAGCTTTTTGGGTTCCAGTTGCACAATGTTGTGCCTGGATTTCCAAAGCCAGAAATGAATGTCATGGAAGCAACTTATGAACTTTTGAAAACCCAAACCAGAACACAAAACTGGGATCCCAGCAAGGTATGTTGAGCAAAGTAATTTTCCAACTTTTTAATTACTGTATTTCCCCATTTTTCCCTTCTTTTTATGACAAGCATGAGTCGTAATTCCACTACACCTTCAACACGTTGTTGGTTTATTTCTTTACTCATCCCATTCCCTTTGGCCATACCTCACCATTGTTTTGTAATTTAATCTCTCCTGTTTTATACCCTATCACTAATCTTCCTTTCTTTAATCTTTCATTCTCCCCATCTTCTGAACTCACATTGGGGTTAGGACAGTATTTTTTCTGGTGAATGTCTGTCAGTAACATTGTAAGTTTCGAAAGAATATTTCTTATGTCAGCTGTTTCAAATGAAATCATAAAATTAACCTAAAAGGCAACATTTTTAATATCTGCAGAAATCATGACAAGGAATCTTCCCACTCTCTTCATAATCTCGTAAACACAGTTTCACAAACACAATTGCAGAGGAAATATTTTTCCATTGTCTGTTTATGAGCACTTTATCAGGAGCCATTTTCTTTTCACAGATTGTTTTAGGCATACAGTGTGAATTACAAAAGCAACTCAAAAGCTTCATATCTTTGGAACGTCTGCCCCAGGCATACATAAGGAACCACAAAAACTGTCAAGATAAACGACCAAGCTTTGCTGCAGTCCCTTCAATGTTTGGTAAAGGAGTGAAATTTGCAATTCAGGATGCTAAGGTAACTGCTGACATCATCGGAGTCGCCAGTGATGACAGCAGACGAATAGCTGCTGTTCTGAATGGTGCTGATTATCTGGAGAATCTCCATTTTACTATTGATGGTCGAGATACGCATTACTTTGTGAAGTCAGGGCCCTTGGAAGAAGACCTAGCCATAATTGGGAATACTGGAGGAGGTCGTGTGTTGGAAAATGGAGTCAATGTGACTGTCTCTCAGATGACCTCTGTAGTGAATAGGAGGACTAGAAGGTTTGCAGACATTCAGCTACAGTACGGAGCCCTAAGCTTCAACATTCGTTATGGTGCCACTATCGAAGAAGAAAAAGTCCATGTGTTAGAGATGGCCAGACAGAGAGCTATAGCCCAGGCATGGGCAAAGGAACAGCGCAGGGTGCAAGAAGGGGAGGAGGGTATCAGATCATGGACTGAGGGAGAAAAGCAACAGCTACTCAACAGTGGAAGGGTACAAGGTTATGAAGGGTTTTTTGTATTGTTTGTGGAACAGTATCCCGATCTTTCCGACAGTGCCAACAATATCCAGTTTGTGAGACAGAGTGAAATAGGAAAGAGGTAACGGTGAAGAAACACCTGCCTTTCAGTCACCAAAGACTGCTTGTTTTTAAGACATTTGTTGATTTGCTGTACTCTTTTCTAGAATGATATCCTGTAAATATTGTGATGGAGAAACAAGTCAATTTTCAAGCTGCCTTCAAATGTGATAAAATATGGTATTTTAATAATACCCATGTTTAGCATTCCTTTTAGTGGTTGGTCCACAGATCTGGTCCTCAATAAGTAATACTGGGAAATAGTGGTAAGTCCAGATCAAATATAAATCTATATTATAGTTACAGAGTGCACTAGTAGGGGTTCAGTGCATTCACTAAATACAGTATTTTGTCTCTAATGTACCACTAGAAAAAATGCCAACTGTGTTCTTCATAACAGTTCAGATTCACGTATTTACTGTCACAAAATGATTGTCCAAGGGTGTGTGGCACTATTGAGCTACTTATGTTAGCTAAAGCTATTTCATTTTGATCTTCTTTATTTTTTATTTGATCATGGATGGTCTATAATGCTGTGAACAAGGAAAGTATGTACAGTTGGTGTATAAAGCACAGTACACCTGTTTTAAATTGCTTTTAGTGGTGGGTGTGGTAAAAATCCAAGGTGCATTATTTCCTCAGTAAAACATACCTTTTATTGTTCACCATTAATGCCAGTTATTTTCTAATTTAAATTATTTGATGGTGTAATTGCTAGGTCAATGAGGAATTTGTTTTTCTTTTTCCGGTATAACTGTGGTACCCACAGAATTGTAACTTCTTTACTAACTTTTGTGTAATTAATTTTAAAATGTAATCTTGGCGACATGGCAACAAACATTCGCAGCATATGAAAGACAAGCCAGACAAGCTGTTAGTCTTTTTAATTATGTTGTGAAGTTACTGGTAGACATTATTATTGCCAGCCATTGCGACCTGCTAATTGTTACGTGTTTTCATGTACTGAGTATGCAATCTGCATTCAAGCAAGATACGATGGAAGCTAGTCCTGGATTTGTGGAAACAACTGATTCTGTGTGGAAGTTTATAAATAAACAGAGCACAATGGGTTTGGGTACTAACTTCTGTTCATTTATCAATTCACAAGCATTTTTATTGCAAAAGCATGGTTTTTATATGTTTCACATTGCAAATCTTTTAGCTCACAGTAGGCAGTATCCTGCAGTGTGCTGGGGATGAATTGCCCAAATTTCATCCAGCTTAGTTATTCACTTGGTTCAAATACGAAGTGTAATGGAAGTCTGTTTAAACATGGTGCAATATACCACAAAAGTGCTTCGAGCCCAAGCATTTCTTTGGCTTGTTTTGGGGACACAAAGTAGCCGATGGGCACAGAATCCATGTGAGAAGCCAGAAACAGAAACCCAAGGCCCATTCAAAGCAGTATTTTAGGCCTTGTCTAAATAACACCTGCAAAATGCATACACCTATTCAAGTATCCGTTGTCAGCTCACAGGCTCGCTTCATTGTGAAAAGTAAACTAAGAATTTCTAGGATCCAAAGATCAAAGAATGAACAAATGTGGCCACATTAATTAATTCCTGCATCTTTGTCAACACCAAAGATTTCCAATTTTCAATGTATAGTTTGTCTTTAAATAGAAATCCCATAACGTACAAGAGCATTTTCTTTCCCTAGCAGCTGCCTGGATATATTCATTTTAAACAGTACAGCATGCCTTCAATCTTTCACTGAGAGAATTAAAAATTCAAGTGATTCCTCAATGATAATGATGACATTAAATGAGCTCCACTCTAATGATGTCTATTCTTTCCCCACAGTAATGACTGAACTCACAATGAAATTCTGATGATATGTATCTGGGATACTCCACAAATTAGTTTAGCTGGTTCCTTATAAATTTCAGTGATATGTGGCAAGCTGTACAAAATCATGTGACAATGAGGCCTCATAAAGTAGCCCTTCAGAAGGAAGGTATAAGAACAACTAGAAGATGGAGCTCAGGTTAAATATAATGCAGAGAAAGGAGGAAGCAAATAGGAGATGAAATTGGTCTTTGACAATCACATACATCAAGTGATTGAGGCTCTCTGGCTGATTTTCTATTGTGGCATTTATGATAGATATTCATGACTAGCTATTTATTGATAGAGAACACTTCACTCAAAATTGTGTATTGCTGATTTTCGTCCAAAAGATGATCACTTACTCTAAAGCTGATTCCTGACTGACTTGCTATTATTTATGATGTAACTTCCAGGTCAGAGGTTGTTGGCACATGACTTGACGTTAAGGTGTGATGTCTTTGTTAAGTGTGACATTTTATATATTTGAACTTGACAAATTTGGTAGAGCAATAGCAATTATGTTGCTGGTGGAATTAAGATTCACACAAGAAGCATGAACAATTTTATTTAAGGATGAAAATTATTGGCCTCCTTTCTTCAAAATATATTTTTACTTTTTACTTACCACACATACAATGCTGTAAACTGGAACAGTGAAGTTGCTTTTTGAAGTCAACTTGTCTTTTAGGTTGAAGAAGGAGTAAAGGAAACAAAGTTTTTTTTTAGTAAGTTGTTTAACTATATAAAACCTGATCAAACAAAGATGCATTTTGCATGATCTCAGGATGTTCCAAGTCAAACCCAGAAGGAATAAACTAAATTAAGATGGTGAGCTTCAAAGAAATTAGACTGAAATTTCATTCTGGTTGCCAGTTGCCCCAGATATAATTAGTAGGTCCCATCTTGTCAGTATTCAAGGGCATCCCAAGGCCTGAATTATAATTCAAAATGTGAGTAAGTAGTCAACAATAGCTAACATGTGGCCATTGAAATCTCATGTTCAATGGAAAGAAAAGAAGCAAAGTTGAAAAAAAAAGTCAAGTAATGTAAGGTTAACATTGAGGTGAGGTTAGAGTGAGAGAACACAAAAGGTCATCAAGCCACAGTGTTAATTCTGTTTCACTCCCCAAAGATGGTGCCTGATCTGCAAAGAATTTTCCAGTTTTTCTCTTTTTTTTAAATATATTGAAATTATCCGTCCTCAGTATATTGCTTTGTCTTAAAGGATGAGGAAGTTACCAAAAAAATTGATGAAGGCAGAGCAGTAAACGTTGTTTAGTTGGACTTTAGTAAAGCCTTTGACAAGGTTCCGTATGGTAGACTAATTAGTAAAGTTAGGTCACATGGGATTCAGGGTGAGCTTGCCCATCTGATATATAACTGGCTTAATGGCAGGAGACAGAGAGAGGTCTGTCACCAGCGATGTTCCAAAAGGATCAGTCCTGGGTCCTCTTTTGTTTGTCATTTATATCAATGATTTAGGTGAGAATATAGAAGGCATGGTTACTGAGTTTGTGGACAGCACCAAAATTGGTGGCATTGTAGACAGTGAAGAAGGCTTACTAAGATAACAAAGGGAACTTGATCAAATTGGTCAATTGGTTGAAAAATGGCAGATGGAGTTCAATCTGGATAAATGCGAGGTATTACATTTTGGTAAAACAAACAAGGGTAGGGCTTATACAATTAATGGTAGGGCCTTGGGTAGTGTTGTAGAACAGAACCTAGGGATTCATGTGCATAATTCTTCGAATTTTGCGTCACATGTAGACAGGGTGGTTAAAAAGCATTTGGCACGCTTTCCTTGATTGCTCAGTCCTTTGAGTATAGGAGTTGGGAAGTCATGTTGAGGTTGTGCAGGACATTGGCAAGTTCTCTTCTGGAATACTGTGTCCAGTTCTGGTCGCCCGATTATAGGAAGGAAATTATTAAGCTGGGGAAGGTTCAGAAGAGATTTACCAGTATGTTGCTGTGTATGGAAGGTTTGAGTTATAAAGAAAGGCTAGATAGGCTGGGACATTTTTCACTGAAGCATTGGAGGTTGAGAGGCCACTTTATTAAAGTTTATAAAATAATGAGGGATATAGATAGAATTAACAATAGCTGTCTTTTCTGTAGTATGGGGAATTTCAAGACGAGTGAGCACATTTTTAAGGTGAGAAAAGAAAGATTTAAAAAAGACATGAGAGGCAAATTTTTCACACAGGTGGTGGTTCACATGTGGAATGAACTTCCTGACAAAGTGGTGGATGTGGGTACAATTAGAATTTTTAAAAGATATTTGAATAAGTACATGAATGGGAAAGATTTTGAGGGATATGGGCCATGACCAAGCAGGTGGGACTAGTTTATTTTGGGATTATGTTCGGCGTGGACTGGTAGGACCAAAGGGCCGTGTCCTTGCAGTATGACTCTATGACTCTAAAACAAATTATTTTGTTTAAACCATTAGAAAAGAGTCAGTCAAGCCCATTAAAAGAAATTAAGATTACCAGCTGAAAAAATTGCTCCAGTTCTGTACTAATTTGCAGACAACACAAAAATTGGCCGAGTAGTTAGTAGCGAAGAGTATAGGTGAGGTCTAGGCAGCGGGTGAGGAGGGGCTCAATGTTCCTGACTATCTGCCCCAATTTGCAGCTACATCTGCACTCAGGTGACCCTGGAGCAGTAGCATGCTGTGCTCAATAGTATGGTTGAGGCCTTTTGTGATTGGTGGGTGCAGCAGGAGCTAGAGAGCATCGTAAACCTGAACAGTAATATTTTGATTTAGTAGATCTTTATGTTTCTATTGTACAAGCTTCCGTTTTGCCTTTTGAGTTGTGCTTGTTTTTGGGTTGCTGCCCCAGGAAGAGAGCTGTCTTATTTTACCCTTGTTTCAATTTCTGACCCTCTGGAGGAGCTATGAGGGCTGTTATTTTATCAAGAAATATTTATTCCACATTTTGAACCCTTGTTATCCCTACTCGAAGAGTGCTTGGTGGAGGCAGAATCGAAAAAAGCCATTTTTTTTGTTTGTTTATTTGTTGTTTTTCTTTTTCCAGCATCACTGGAGTCTCAGTGATAGTAGGAACTGCAGATGCTGGAGAATCTGAGACCACAAGGTGCAGAGCTGGATGAACACAGCAGGCCAAGTAGCATCATAGAAGCAGGAAGGCTGACATTTCGGGCCTAGACCCTTCATCAGAAATCCTGCATCTTGTTGTCTCACTGGAGTCTCACCTTGGTACAAAAGTCAGAGAAACTTTTACTTTTCAAAAGGATAGAGTGAACTTTGCTCCAGTGCTGACTTCACCCCAGGAGTATCTGATGGGGACAGTACTGGGGAGGGGCAGGCTTGACCTTTTTTAAAAAGAATGAAGAGTATAACAGTCAACTACAGGATAATATCAATAGATCACTGAGTGGGCAGAAAAGTGACAATCC